TTAAATATTATTTTCTGTATTTTTAAACACATTCAAAACATCTTAAGAGGCACGTAGTGCTGGTTATAAAAAGGTCTTTTGCAAGCACATAATAATATGATTCGATTAGTTGTCAAATGATTTTTTTTTCTTTCGAATAAATGATATTATTTACACTAAGGAGGAGGGGTGGGCTTAGTCTCACATTGAGTTAGCAACAATGTGATTCAATCAGTTGTTTATTAAATATTATTTTCTCTATTTTTAAACACGTTCAAAACATCTTAAAGCCATTTCGCGCACACATAATAGTTTGATTTAATTAGTTGTCAAATGATATATATATATATATATATATATATATATATTTTGGAACAAACGATGTTTTCTACAGTAAGGGAGAGCGGGTTGGCTTAGCCTCACAATGGGTTCGCAATAATGTAATACAATCGGTTGTTTATTAAATATTATTTTCTCTATTCTTAATGTAAATTCAATAGAATGCAGATGGAAATTGAAAGACTGAGTTTATTATGTGGATTCAACTGCTTTGACTGGTTTATGAGGGGTTTCTTCTAGCATGGTCAAATATTATTCATTTACTTCAAATATTTAACTTTCTTTTTATCACAAAAAAATTTATTGAAGCAATTCACACATATAAATACATTTAAAACTTATATGTTGGGCGTAGCATGTCGTGGTTCAAAAAATGTCATCTGCACCCGCGTGAGCGCGTGCATGAATGCTAGTAATCCTCCAATGCCAAGCCTCTTTGTTCTAAAGTCACTAGTCGCTTAGTTTTGTGTTTCAACATCATCTCACTGATCTTAATCGGGTCAATCTCATCCTCACGATTGGCGGGCTTATAATATCCAGTTATGGGATTCAAGGCCCACACAAATTAAGGAGCTTCAACATGGTAGGCTTTGAGATTTTGGGGACCCGAAGTGAGTTATTAAAAAGGGGTCCTTAAGTCCTAAGGTGCTGACTCTGAGATTTTGGGGACCCGAAGTGTTTTATTAAAAGGGTCTTTGAGTCCTAAGGTGCTGACTCTGAGATTTTGGGGACCCGAAGTGAGTTATTAAAAGAGTCCTTGAGTCCTAAGGCGCACACTCATATCGTACAAATTGCATCCTAGAGGAATCGTACAAATAGCAAAGCCATTACTAACACACCAACGACAAGCTATTGTTACATAGCCAGCTTCTTTTTTATTTATCTTCCTCCAACATATAAATTCTTTTTTCTTGGGCCCCTCTTGATCAGGGCTCTAAGCAGCCGCTTATTTTGGCTACCCTTAGGGCCGGCCCTGAACTCCGAGTTCAGACTCCTCATTCTTCATCGTTTTCGCAACCCATTCTTCCACCATAGCGCTTATGGACCCTCTTCTACCAAATCCAACTGACACCAACACATGAGATTGATGCCGCCTGCTCCAGCCTCCACCACCAACACTGATAATAGGATCGCGAGGAGTAGGGACATAGTTTTGGAGAGGAATGAAGCAGCCATTCGATCAGAATTTGGAAAGAGAGAAAAGCCAATTAGAGAACAAAAGAAGGGAGAATGGAATAACTCGTTTGGATGTACTTTTAAAATGACTGAAAGCACTTTTGGTGAAAATGTTTTTGAAACCAATCTTTAGTAAAAATGCAAGTAAATTCTGGAAAAGCACTTAAAGTGATTCCTATAAAGATAAGAAGCACATAACCGGTGCTTCTTGCTGAAACACTTTAAGTGCTTTTGAAACCAAAAAACATTTTCTCTAAAAATGTTTTCAATTATTTTAAAACCACATCCAAATGAGCACGAAGTCTTTCTCTTCTACTTCCTTTCCCTTGTTCGCTTCATCGGCTCTCTTTGTGGTGGCAGAGGGGTTTCTGTACGTTATATAGGGAGGGTAAATAAAGTGACTCATTGGGCCGGGAGCATTCAGCCATTGACAATGAGTTCTCAAACTCAACCGATCTTTATGTTTCAGATGAGAGATAACCCCAATATGATAATTGGAGCACATAATGGGATTGTTGTTCCACAATGTGATAAATTTGAGGACCAGAGCTCATGAATTTTTTAAAGGGAAATTTTGGTTCCGTCCTTAATCAATCTAGTTGTTAGAATGAAATTCCTTTATTATTTGTTTAAATAGTTTGATCAAGGCTCCTAGCATCATTTAAGGGATTTAACTCATGCATTTATGCATTCAATATCCCATAAATTATGAAATTTAAACAAATCGAAATAATATTGTTACAAATATAACATTTACTTAAAAATCAAGAATAGAGTAATAATAAGGTGGTGGTTGACGGAGTTTGCTTCAGGAATGGCGGATCGCCGCCATGAGACTTATTGCACCCAACATGCGGTTTTCACAATTTCCAGACCAATTTTCGTTGGGTTTTGAGTGGAAATGGAAGAGAGTATGATGCTAGGTCGATTCCAATGGGTGAGTAGCTTTAATTCGCTGGAAAAATCATCGTGAAAGGCGTTGGGAATCATGAGTTCCACCAGGTCTGATCGCGAGTTGAAGGGGGTTTGGTTTGGCTTGTTCCTCCTTCTCTCTCCTTTCCCTCCTTTCCCTCCTTCTGATTGGTCCATCCTCTTCCTTTCCCTTCCCATTCTCCTTTCCTGATTGGGCAATCCTTTCCCCCATCTTTCTTTTCTTCCTCCTCTCATATGTCTCGCTCTCTCCTTCATCTTCTCCACTCTTCATCACAACTGTCCACGTGGCTCAATCAAATTGCTCCACAAAATCTGGAGCCTTCTAAAGTGAAGGTTAAATTTACTAAAATGCCCCCGACTTAAAACGTTAATAATTCCTTCGTTAAAGCTCCAAATTACGTTCTGTTTATACTCACGCGTTCTTAGTGATGACCACTACGAGGATACGCTAAAAGAATGTTTCCTAGATCTCCCAATACGGTAGTCAATGAAAGTCCACACCCTCGCCTTTAGGGGCATTTTCGTCAATTCACTCATTTAAAATTAATAAAAACGTAAAATTAGGGACGGGTTGTCCCAATAAACACATATAATTAGCATGGGTACGTTCATAAAAAAAAAATATATATTGGTACAAATTAAATAAAAAATATGGGTACATATTAAAATTCAAAACTATGGGTACAAACTAAATTGAAAATATGGGTACATATTAAAATTCAAAATTATGTGTACAAATTAAAACTAAAAATATTGGTATAAATTAAAAAGAGGATACAAATTATAAATAGAAATATATGAAAAAAAAATACTAAAAATATTATATTTGAAAATGATTAATAATTTTTTCATTTTTAAATTAACATATAATGACTTTAAATAATTTAATATTCAAATAATGATGTGAAGTCAAGGGACCTTGATCACAAATGAAAAAAGAATAAGGTTTCAATTAATGAGAATGAGAACCTAATTTATCCTTAGGACACTTTGGATGCAGTCCCTAACTACCAATGTTCTTTGACTTAAACCTTCGTGGTTTTTAGTTTTTAATCAAAATCCCTAACTGTAACATCCCACATCGCCCAAGGGAGTGGATCCTGTAAGCCTTATATGTATATTACAATCTCTACCTAGCATGAGGCCGTTTTGGGAGCTCACTGGCTTTGGGTTCCATCGAAACTCCGAAGTTAAGCGAGTAGCACGAGAGAGCAATCCCAGGATGGGTGACCCACTGGGAAGTTCTCGTGTGAGTTCTCAGAAACAAAACCGTGAGGGCGTGGTTGGGGCCTAAAGCGGACAATATTGTGCTATGGTGGTGGAGCGGACCCGGATGTGGTGGACCCCGGGCCGGGATGTGACACTAACATTAATGTAATAATGTATTTCTATATAGGTTATTATATTTTTAAATTAAAAATGAAATTTGTAGTTATTTATATTAATGAGATTTTAAATAAAACCCATAATTTATGAGATTAAAAATATTAATGATGAATTATACTATCTAATATATTTTGTGTGTGTGTGTGTGTGTGTGTGTGCACATGGGTACGTTCATCAAAACTAACCAAAAAATTGTTGTACTAAAATATGGGTACAATTTTCAAAAACACAAAAAAAAAAAAAAGATATTAGGCTTATTAACATTATTAAATTTCTTTTATTAAACTTAACATGAATACATTCTCAAATAAACGAAATAGAATGTACCCATATAAGTATAAAAAAATGGATTAGAGAAAAGATTGAATGAATTTTACATTAAAAAAATGGGTACATTTTATATTTAAAAAAATGGTACATTTTTCATCTAACAAATTGGTATACGTAAGAATTGGTATATATAAGATTAAAAAATTGAAAATTTTTCATAAAAACTTAATGGGTACAAACTTATTCTAATTTTAATTTTTATATTTTGGAAATGTTTGAATTGAAAATTAATTAAGAGTTTAATAGGGGTGTGAGTTTTAAAACTCTAAATCAATTACTAATTTTTATTATAAAAATTATGTAACTTACATGTAATTCATTAATATATTAATGTTAGAGACTTTGATCAAAATCTAAAAACTGATAAGGTCTTAGTCAATGAACATTAGAAACTAAAGACCGGACACTAATTTTTCCTTCTAACTTTTATTATATATATGGTTAATAGAAATAAGAGTTGTGAGACTTGAACATAAAACCTCGGATGCAAGGATTGATTGTCTTAATTAACCACATGCTATGGTTCAACTATTTTTCTTGTTCTTGATACATATGAATTTTCTTTGGAAAGAAATTGATTGTGTTCATGGACGGAGGCAACATATGCCCACTGATGGCAGCTATCCCCACTTAACTCTTTTTGTCATGAAAAATGCTCCAACTAAAATTATAAATTACCTATATACTGAGAGATGAAGTCTCGATCCAAACACTCAACTCAAAATATCCTCTCACAATATCCTCTCACGTTCTATACTCTTCCTATTCTCTCACCCTTCCAAGCCATGTAATTTTTTCATTAGCTAAAGGTTTAGTTTTACCGTTCTAAACACTAGTTACTCAAAATTATGTTGTTGGAAAGATAAGTTAATAGCATTATATCAAAATTTTAATTTAATTTCATCAGTTGCGCCACAAAAGAATATTTATGGCTCCGTCCATGATTGTGTTATCCCAAAACAGCCGTCACTCTTTCTTGGAAAACAGGATTGGGATGATTCCAAGTTGGTTGAAGATACAGTTATTGTCTTAAGACCAAATGGACTCGACACTGCAGGTGCCCTACCTCTCCACGTTCCATCTTCCTATTACTTTTCCCACTGGACCTTCCATCTGCCTATCATGCACCAGCTGCTTATATGTGCCATGAAAATATCTCACTAAACTCTGCCATCATTTATCATCCATGGCTAGGATCCAGGAATACGTTCATGTTTTCCCTGACCTTGTCGAACCTGCCACTGCGTGTTATACGATGGCAGCGATTGCAGGCCTTGTTTTCATGTATCTTGTCCGCAAGAGAGAGCCAAGAATTTATTTGGTAGACTTCAGCTGTTACCAGCCACCAAAATCTTATAGGCTGCCGACGTCCATGTTCCTAGAGAACGTCCTTCTGGACGGCACAGACCCTGAGAGCGCAGCATTCCAAATCAAGATCCTCGAGAAATCTGGGTTCGGCGAGGAGACTAGCATTCCTCCGTCTCTCACTTGCTTGCCTATCAAGAAATCACTCCAATTTGCGATGGAAGAGGTCAAAGCAGTGATGTTTGGTGCAGTTTCAGACTTGTTCAACAAGCACAACATAAAGCCTAGAGAAATTGATGTTCTGATTTCTAACAGCAGCTTGTTTTGTCCCACACCGTCTCTCAGCACTTTGATCATCAACAAGTTCGGAATGAGAAGCAATATCAGAAGCTTTCACTTATCCGGGATGGGATGCAGCGCCGGACTTATTGCAGTTGGACTAGCTAAGGACTTGCTGAGGGTTCACGAGAACTCATTGGCTTTGATTGTCAGCACTGAGGGATTGCATTTGAATTGGTACACCGGAAAAGTACCGTCCATGTTGCTCACTAATTGTTTGTTTCGGATGGGAGGAGCGGCCGTGTTGATGTCCAGTCGGAATCAAGACAAGGGCAGGGCAAAGTATGAGTTGCAGCACCTTGTGAGAACAAACAATGCACAAGATGATCGGTCTCATGCCTGTGTGTTTCAGGATATAGATCCCGAGAACAAACAGGGGATTTCGATATCGAAGGACATACTCCATGTTGCTGGAGACGCATTGAAGGCAAACATTGGTGCTCTGGGACCATTGGTTTTGCCACTTTCGGAGCAGTTTCGATATGGGGTTTCAATACTCAGCCGAAAGGTATGGAGTGGGAGGAGGAAGATTAACGTACCGGATTTTAAGAAAGCTTTCGAGCATTTCTGCATACATGCTGGGGGGAAAGCAGTTATACAAGGAATAGAGAAAAACCTGGAGCTGAGAACAGAAGACGTGGAGGCCTCAAAGATGGCCCTGTACAGATATGGAAACACATCGTCTTCTTCGATATGGTACGAGCTGAGTTACATAGAAGCGAAAGGAAAGATGAAGATGGGCGATCGGGTGTGGCAAATTGGGTTCGGGAGCGGCTTCAAGTGTAACAGCGCAGTGTGGAAGTGTATTTCCGATGTGGGAGCTGAGAGTGCAAATGTGTGGAGAGAACTAATCCATTCATATCCCATGGAGGTTCCAAACTGAGAGAGTACATGCAACTTTAGTGTTTAAAGCTCAAAAGACCAAACACAACATGTATAATGTAATGTAATGTAAGGAGCCTGTAGCTCAATCAGCTGAAGGCATTCACCCTTGGCACCCGAGGTGCGTAATTCAAATTCCCCCTTCCCCATGTTTCCTAACATGTTCCTGTATCTGAAATGTTCAACGAGCTAAAGATGCGCGAGACACGGGTTCAATGGCATCCAGATGAATCACTGCAAACGTATATGCCCAGCAAACCCTAACTTGAAACCAAACCCTCCTAAAGATGCTGGCGATCGCCAAATTCTACAAGGGTTCAAAAACAAACTCAAATTGCTTATAAATTTAAGAACGCAAAATCCTCTGGAATGACTCGAGCCCAAAAGTCGAAGAATAAGAATGCAGATGAAAAGTGTAACTGTATCAAAAATCAAAGAAACAAAACAGAAACGACAACGATCCACCAATTGATGTTTTCTCTTCCATCTGACAAAAATGGTTCCCCATAATTTTCTGACTTTCCACATATTGCCTATTCTTTAGCTGTCTTACTTGTTTTCTTGCTTTTTCTTCTGTCTTACCAATTTTTGGTGTCAACTCAAATTGGGCATGGTGGGACATCAAGGGTTGTTCCAGCTTGAATCTGACCCCAGCCAATAAGACGCCAATGCTTCTCAACACGTCGACTGAGCGCAATTTTCTCTCCTTTGCTGGTGCAAACTGGAGACGTGAGTTGCAACTTTGCTAAATCGTTCCTTACAGCAAGAACCCTAGCCCCTGTAGACATGGATCCTATATTCAACATGAGGATCTCACCCTTGACCAGCTTTGAGACCTTTCCCTGCTTCTCAGACCCCTTTGTCCTGACCCCAAGAAGCCTTCTCAACAAGAAGAAGTTGACCTGTAAAATATAACACAATCTTCATCTACACCAAGGTTTTCAAGATTTGTCTAGTTCGCGATGAGAAAGAAGAAACAAAATAACTCAGAAAAATAAACATACTAAAAAGATGTATAAAGAATAGAGAAGAGAGTACAGTTAGAAGCCACGTCACATCCTCAAATGTAAAACAAAATGCACTGTCAACAACAAAAACACACAATTCCTCCACGATTGTTTGTAAAAGGAGCACTTGTGCGCGTGCACACACACACACAAAAAAGTTAGGCATTTTCTTAGAAACAGCATCCCATCAAGCTTTAACAGCTCAACCAATTAACATAATATAAAGTACTACAGCAGTATTGCTTACCTCAAGCTCAACAAATACTTCAGGGAGTGACCCAACTTCACCAAGAACTTGACCCACTAACCTATCAGCACGTGTCAAAGTGGGATCCATGGTTGTTCCAACACCAATAAGACCTCCTGGCACCGCAAATTGCAACTCATTTTGCTCAGCATACAATGAAACAATTCTGGAATATATTGGCGTGCACTTGATATTTCCACTCTCGTCTTTAACAACAATCCCAGGACGAACCTCAATAAATTGGTTGACTTTCAGAACACCCTGCCACGACCACATTGTAAAATATGTTATTCATTAAGCATTTATGGAACTAACTACTTAAGAAACCTTCCCAAATTCCACAAATTATTAGATCCAAATCAAGAGCATGTGTTCACATTTTCACGACCCAAAACTTCTAACGTAGAATGACAAAGCAGGACTAAAATTAGAAAAAAGAAAGAGGAAACCTCAAATACCATGAGCTGAAACCAAATGGGAATAATCAAACATTGTCTACACTTTCGACAAAATAAGACATTAGAAGACATACCCTGAGGATACTTCCACCAGCCACTCCACCTCTAATCTCATCAACCTCGTACCCAGGTTTATTGACGTCAAAAGAACGGATAACAATCATATTGGGAGGTGAGATAAAGTTCCTTTCTGGAATGGGGATCTTTTTTACAATGTATTCACACACAACGTCAATATTATACTTCAACTGAGCAGAAATTGGCACCACTGGTGCATTATCAGCTACAGTTCCCTGGTACACAAAATGCTTAACAATTAATGAACTGAAACCTATAAAACAGAAGGGAAAAAAAGCTCCAAAGGAACTTACCTGAATAAACTTCCTGATTGCCTCATGTTGGTTAATGGCCACATTCTCCTGAATGAGATCAACTTTATTCTGAAGAATAATAATATGTTGAAGACGCATAATTTCAACAGCAGCCAGATGCTCAGAAGTTTGTGGTTGGGGACAGCTTTCATTAGCAGCAATGAGAAGTAATGCTCCATCCATAATTGCGGCACCATTAAGCATAGTAGCCATAAGAATATCGTGACCCTATAAAAAGAGAATAACTTTTGAAGAAACATAACAAAATCAAATCAAGATAAACCATGAAATAATTTGGACAAGACATAGAATGTGAAATATGACAATCATTAATAAAGAAAATCTCTTGCAATAATAATGTTGCAAGAACCCATAGGAAAAATCTAACTTCAATGCTACTAAATAAAATGTCATCCATGGGTATAACAAACAAAAAATACGCTGAGAAAATATTTATATATGATCACGACAAAGTATCAGACTATCAGAACCTTTTATCAAGCAAGGACGACCAGGTACACACCACCATTTATTCCCAACAATTTAGTGTAGTCATAAATATTATGGCATATAGAAAATGGTACAAACAATAGAACACAAAGCCTTACCGGGCAATCTACAAAAGATACATGTCTCAACAATTTCATCCTGCAGTTCTCAAATCCAGGAACATCACAGAGAGGAGCATCTTCCTTTCCACTTCCATATGCCCTAATAAAGAAATGAATATGCATTAACAAAAAGGGTTGAATGTGATAAAAGACAATTATATTAACTGGATGCCTACTTGTAAGCCATGGGTCGAGGGCAGCGCTCGTCTTCACATATGTATATCTTTGCATTGGCATATCCAAGCTTGATAGTAATGTTGCGCTCCAGCTCATTTTTAAAACGAACAGTCTGCATATCATTAATGTTTGATTTTTGATGTCTTAAAAATATAAACTTGCATTGGAATATCCAAGCTTAAATGTTCACAACACATAATTTGAGAAATATAGCTCAAACCAACAAACCAGTTATTGTACATGGTGCATGCCATGTTGGACCAATGTAATACACTATAGGCCCTTACCCAATAGCTTAAGGTTTTGGTATATAAAGTAACTTAGCAACAGTGAAATGAAAGATGAATTGGAGCTCGGTCTATATCCACCGTTTACATAACCAAAGATGCTATTAAATTTATTTTGATAGCAACGAAACTATTAAACCTATAAGGTAAGATTACATTTAACCCTCTTTTCTCATAATTTACAGACTATCATCCTGGAGAATATAGTCCATACTATAAGACAGCTTCCATTTTCAATGCTCAGCTTAAGAGTAAACATACGTTCACCAAGAATAAAAGGTATATGATTCGTAGCCATCTGATACGATTAGCCACTTTTGTTAGTCAGCTGTAGAAATATGATAATACTCAACAACCTAAATTCTCTTGTTCTGCAAATATAACTCAATAGTATGCTAGAAAAATATTTCCTAATGTATTTTTCCTTGGCAGTGAGTGTGCATCCGTAGCTCAAAGAGAACAAGCAGCCATAACTGGATACAACTTTTTTACACCCTCGTGAGTGGAAACACAGGCTTGCTTGTCTTTACAATGTCCACACAGAAATAAACAGAAAAGATGCAAGCAGTATCAAATGCAAAACAGAAACACCTAAGCACCTGAACACCAGAAATTGCTTTTACAACTGTTGACTTTCCATGAGCCACATGACCAATAGTACCTGAAAGGCAACTCGCATAAATCCAAGCAAGCACAAAATTAGGACCCGTACCAACAAACCAATGATGGTCGAATCAATATAAGAATGGCCATAAAAATCCAAGAGCAGTCTGAACATCAGAATGATGATTACCGATATTGATAGTGGCCTGACGGGATATAACTTCAGGCGAGAGTGGATGCAACTTTGTTACATCCAGTTTACTCAGGTCTTGCTCCATCAAACCTTTCCTCGACATTTTGACAGTTACTTGAAAGTAAACAGCTAATAACTGGGTGGTATCAAAAGTGACAAAATCAAAACTGTGAAAGACTGCATCAATTACCCAAATTGTTGATTAACATTAAGACTCGGTTGAAAACGGACACTAGTACGCAAGCAATAGTATTTGCTGCAAAACCATAGAGGTATTTAGTGCAACACCACTTCAAATTTACCATGAACAAGATTATGAATAAAATCCTATTAACAACGAAGACGAAAAGATAAATGAAAAATTAGACTAGAAACATTCATTTCAGAAGAAAATTCCATGTCCGCATCCTAAATTTCGACAAAAAGCATTTTCTATCAAATGACCAGTAAAACAACAAAAAAGAAGAATAAAACCCTAATTTCCACCGAAATTCATTGACGGCGGCCAACAGTAAAACCCAAGATGCCAAAACCCTAAAATCTCCAAAAAGTAAAAATGCTCCTCTTTTACACCAGACAAATAACAAATTGATAACAAAATACAGCAACTCAAACAATAACACACTCATATCAAACAGCTTGAAAATCTCACAAGAAAATATAAAATATAAAAAAATTAAAAATTAAAAAATACAAATGAAATACCAGTGGCTGTAGAGAGAGAGAGAGAGAGAGAGAGAGAGAGAGATATTGGTACGGACCTGGACGATGCGATTAGGGCAAGACGACGAGAGTGAGCGAGGTTTTCTGTTGAGCAGTAGCGAGAAAGAGGGAGCAGGTTTAAGGGGAAATCGCTGCTACCTTCTAGGGATAGTGTTTCGCTGGATCTTTATGTTCGCAAATGCAAATGAGGGTGTTTTCGTAATTTGATGGTTAAACGAGCCACTGCTTTGGTGGTTCCTTTCTGTATGGCTCAGGCCCAATATTTCATATACTTCTCCAAGTCTGTCCAAAAGCCCGACCGGAATTTTTTTTTTTTTTTTTGGTAAATAGATAATTATAAAGGCGATTAAACCAATCAAAAATTCACTAAAGCTACTTAAAAAAAATGAGTGTATTCTTTTTTACTTGAAAGTGAGAGGTTTTAGATTCGAATCTCGTGGATGGGGAATTCGATATCAAATTCGGCTATTTATTGTGTGGCTTAGGCGAACTCCCCTTCCCTTAGTGTAAAAATATCAATATACTAAAAAAAAAAAAAAAAAGAGGTTGGTTGGTATCTTCTTAGATTTTTTTTTTCTTTTTGAAACTAAAAAGTATTCAATAATTTAGCTACGTTCACCTTTTGTTTAAAGGAAAAAGAAAAAGAAAACTCAATTTCTCACTCTAATAACTTTTATATAAAAAAAAATTGTTGTGTTTGACCATATTATATTATTTGTTGTTTAAACTCAACAATTTAATAGTAGCTTATTTTCGTTCGGGTATTCTTTTTGTACAAGTTGAAGAAAAAGGGGTTTGAGCACTAGACTCGGGGAAAGAATAATTACTTTTAACCACTTGAGCAATTTTGTTTCGTTTGAGATGCAAAAGATAGAAAACCAACAATTTTAAAGTGCAATGACAAGCTAATTTAATACTTAAAAAAATCATGAATTAGATTGGTTAGGGGAAAGTAGTTGATCCCGTTGTCATTATTATTTCTTCCATCTCCTTTTCAAGACTTTCTCGGTTCATGGTTTCTCAACATTAAGAAAATAGACATTTCATTAATCAAGTCGTTTTCAGATAACAATCTATATTTCACTAGACATATATTAACAAATTTTAATAGCATGTTAGTGCGACGTAGAACGGGCACAAAGATAAGAGCACTTAATTAAAAGAACATAAAAAGAAATTGTTCAACATTAAACCATCTTTTTTCTATATAAGAAACAAGAAAGTCTAAATTAAAACGATAAGAGATTCAAGCATGTTATATCTTTCAACAAATTGAGTAAAAAAGAAATACACTAAATTAACAAGACAAATATAAAATTAGCAAAAGACCAAAACTCTATAATATATAAAAACTGATCCTTAAAGAGTAATTAACCAATAAACACCAGGTACATATACATATAATTGATCAGAAACTGAATTTTATTCTAACTTTATTTTCCACATCTATATCTTCTTTATTTTGTTTTTCTTTTTTTTCCTCAAACATACGTAAAAAAATCTCATGCAAAAACATTACATAGCGGAGCCCGCATCATTGCCCTTGGAGTCACCAAAAATACGCTGCCGAAAGTCGTTAACCATGAGCGGCAGCCCCTTGCGGAGGGACACGGTGGGCTCCCACCCCAGAAGCTCTTTCGCCTTCGAAATATCCGGCTTCCTCTTGTGTGGGTCGTCCTCTGTGTTGGGCCTGAACTCTATCTTTGCATTTGGATCTATTGTGTCTTGCACAACCTGCACATACAAGCGAGAGAGTAGGGGAGCGGGAATTCAAACTCGGGGCCTCGAGTTGGGAATTGTTTGTTTGTGCAGTGGGGTTGATTGATTTTACCTGAGCAAGTTCTAGCATGGTGAATTCGCCAGGGTTGCCAAGGTTGAAAGGTCCCACATGATTTCCTTCCATCAGCCGCATTAGACCCTCGACCTAATTCCACAGAAGCAGTGCACAACAAATTGTTTAGTAAATTTCAGTTTACTTGTTTGAATCAATCAAGAGGTATTATATATGCTTTATATTGCTACCATAAGCATTTTAAATTCTTAGTCGACACTACATTGTTTTCTTGCCATGTCCAAGAATGTTGCATTCAAACATTAGCCGTGCATAAATTACTATCCGAATATGGTGGTGGCCTCTATCATGAGAAAAGTAGAGTGTCTGACCATGTCACTTGACAGTTAACTTTCACAAAACTATGAGACCTCATGTGTTTTGATCTCATTTGACCTCACGCTACTCCCATTTAGTTTAAGAGTTGTCCTAATCAGAGAACTCTACCAAAGTTTTTCTCCTGTATCAGATCATAACTAAGAGAGGACACAGATATTCAAACAACTTTCACCTTAAAACACCATTGACCTTAATGCTAATTTAGACAAAGACATGACTGGTGCAGTTAATAATTAGAAATTCATACTTAATTAGGAATAGAGGAGAAGAAATATAATACCAAGTCAGAAACGTATTGGAAACTTCTGGTTTGCTTGCCATCTCCATAAACTGTCAGTGGCTCCTTCCTTAATGCCTGTATATTCCATACACAACAAATTTGCAGGAAATATTATGATGTAGCAAGCCAGAGGAACCAAAAGAAAAAACTACAAAATTTCTCACCTGAGCTACGAAATTGCTGACAACCCGGCCATCGTCAATGCACATACGCGGTCCATAAGTATTGAAAATCCGAGCAATCCTCACCTGCAACACATTCTATACATTAGAACCCTAACTGCAACTGTTATAATATTCGTCTCAAATTTTGAGTTTGATCCGGAATCATTTGAAACCGAGGCACGCATAATGTAAATGACAAGGAAAAGATTATTAGTATCGGAGAAAATTAAGGTGACCTCAATGCCAAGGCCTCTATGGTAGTCCATGGTCAGAGTCTCTGCTGTGCGTTTTCCCTCATCGTAGCAGCTCCTTACACCTGCCAAAGCCAACAAAACACTTGTATGAAATTATGTACTCATCACATTGTTGATTACATTTTACGGTGAAGTTTTTGTAAGAAACGCGATCGAGAAAATAGTATACATGTTTATTATTCATCTCGCTGTTGAAGCAAATGATCAGAAATGTGATTAGTAAATGTGGTGAAGTTTGATATTCTCGCGCATAGTTTTGTCATGTTGGGGTCGAGGGGAGACATAAGAGAGTGGGGGAATGACTCACCGATGGGGTTGACATTGCCCCAGTAGGACTCGACCTGAGGGTGCTGCAAAGGGTCACCGTAAACCTCGCTGGTGCTTGTAAGCAAGAAGCGTGCGCCAACCCTTTTTGCCAGTCCAAGCATGTTCAGTGTTCCCACCACATTTGTCTTGTGAAGCCCCAACTCGCACAACAAATTAAGGACCCCAAGCAATACCACATGCACACCATATATTTTTTTTTCTTCAAAATATCTATGTGATTTTCGTTATATCTATAGTATCTACTATAGAAGTACATTTTTTACTACAAAAAACAGAAAGAAGAAAATACCTATTTTATATGTGAAAATATTAAACATGCACTCGATTTTTATGTCTAAATAATCAAATAAATTTTAGGTGGTTTTTTTATTTGTGGTGTAGTTCTTTTTTGTTACAAGGAATTAGATAAAAATACACTTTAGTGATAAAAAAATTCCAACATTTAAAAGGAAAAAATAAAGGAAGAGTGAATGTAGAAAGATTAATTTAGATTGTAAAGAAGACTTATATTTTTTCATATTAAATTTGAATATTCTTTTTCCTAACTCCATTTATACAAACAATACAATTGTATATTTTAAGCTTGTCTACAAATAAAAAAATTTACGTGTAAACGATATCATAATATTATAGGGTTTGTTTAGAATTGTTTACAACTATTTTTTTTTAATTCCAAAAACACTTAAAGTGCTTCTTGTATAAAGTAATAAAGTATTTTTTCAAGCTTAATATTTTATAATTTCAAAAACATTTTTCCTAAGAGCGCTTTAAAACATTCCAAACAAGCTCATAGTCATCTCAAATAAAGCATATAATCACCAACATGCATATAAACACAAAAAAATTAAAAAAAATAAAAATAGAAACCAGAGAAAGGATATAATTGTCTTGACCGGATTGAACTTGTAATGCACAGGGGATGCCGGGCAAGCGAGGTGGTAGATCTGGTCAACCTCCAGCAGAATCGGCTCAACGACGTCGTGTCGAATCAGCTCGAACTTCGGGTTCCCGAAGTGGTGCACCAAATTCTCCTTCCTCCCAGTGAAAAAATTATCAAGCACGATCACGCTGTCCCCTCTCGCGATCAGACGGTCCACGAGGTGGCTCCCCACGAACCCGGCCCCACCCGTCACAACAATCCTCATGTTCTTCTTCTTCACCCCCAGCGGCACCTTCCCGCCCACATTCCGCGTCTCCAACAGCACTCTCCGGGTCGGGTTGGCCGGCAGATCACTACCCTGCCCAGCAAAACTCGACCCGGATTCAAAACCTGAGTTCTGTGCGGACTGTAATTGTGGGTTCGGTACCGGGAAGGTGGTGAAGAAGAAAACGGCGATGGCGACGCCGATGAGGACGAAGATAAAGCGCTGCTCGCGGAGCACGTAGCGAATCGGGTTGGCGGAGGAAGTGTGATTGGTTTGCGGTTCGAGAACGGGTTGTGATAGGTCGTCATTTTGTTGATTGTGGTGGGTTCTCTGAACTAACGACGGATTATCGGAGCTTCTGGCCATAGTTTTCACTTGGGGTTCTGTCTAATTTTCCCTCAGATTTTTGATCGGGAAGTTCTTGGAGTGATGAAAAATTGAAAAGGGTGGGCAGAAGAGGAGGAGCATGGGGGGGGAGGGAGAGCCGGAGAGAAAGAGAGTGTGTGTGGGTGTGGGATTTTGTGGGTGGGGAGAGGAGTTTTTTGGGTCTAAGTGGTCGGGACGTGGGGACATTCATGCATGAAAATTGGCCGTATAATCGTTCTAAGGCGCGTGATTGGAGCGTGCATCTATATAGGTTTTGGCTTTTTAGGTAATAAGGTGGTCTGGATTTACTACTTTGCCACTAAACTAGATTGTAGTTTTTTAACTTTTGGTAAGGTGACAAGTAATGCTTTTTTTTTAATTAGGTAAGTAATAAGTAATGAATAATGATAGGTAAGCATATAAAAATTACTTCTACTCATGAATATTTTCTCTAGAAAGTAATTTTACTGTAAATATTTAGCAACTTTTATGTAAAATTTAAGTGCATCTTCAAAATTCGTTTATATAATTCATAAACTCTTATATGTTCCTTTGTCAAAATTATAAAAACAATTTTAATTATCGAAAGACATTTTTAGCCGTTTCAAAAACAGTACAAAACACACCACGTTTTCTTAAGAGAACGTTGGGATTATTTCACATCTAGACTCACTTTGGAGTTCATTTGTTCACACCAAAAAGAAGTTGCCAACGTAAATACGCTACAAATTATGTAATAATAAATTGGGTGTTTCTAATGTTATTCTTCTTAATTTTCTAACATCCGCAATTTTTAAATAAGTGGTGAAGAACTTTAATTTTTAAGTTTTTAATTTTTTAACACACATATTTCATTATTTGTATCATAACACGTAATGTATCATTTCGTGTTCCGGGCATACTGAAAAATCTCTCCAAAAATTCAAGCAATGATACAAACATGTCATCTAAATGCATTCACAAAGCACCACGTGGTAGAAGATGGAAGTGCCAGGTGTGCCCTTCGGGACATGATCTAAGGCTAGTTTGTAGTCTACACCAAATAAAGTGCTCTAAACCTAACATTTTTATTCCCTCAAGGATAGGAAAGAATGTAGCGTTGCCACATGCACAAGCTCACTAATTATGAAAAAAATCATGTTAAATTGGAGGAAGAAATTTGCATAAGTTGAGGTTAGGCTTCGCGAAGAAGCAAATGATATATATCTCAGTTAGTTAAGAGCAAGTACGGAATTAGGATTTCCTTTTAAAGGTGGGCTAATATTTCTTCTTTCCTGCAAAGGTGTTTAAGTATGTTTCTTACTTTTCTTTTTAAGAAGAAAGCTTCAATGCATTAGCCATGGAGGAGGTTGACTGGCTTCCATTTTCGGAGAATTTTGGGTAGTGGGGTGGCTAATTTCTTCTTAGTAGGCTGGGCTAATTCATGCAAAATGGTTAGGAGGTCTAGAAATTAGTATTATCTTCCTAATTTTCCAAACTTTTGGTCTAATTGTAGTTCCGTCATTGGTTAAGAGCATTAACTTTCATGCCAGAAGTCCCAAGTTCAATCATCCTTCCCTTACCGTTGCTTTAAGAATAAAAGGAGAGATCACTCAACTCAGCCACAAGATGTATAAAATACAGAGTGCATTGGTTTTGGAAACCAAATAAACAACATTGCATCGCAAGCAAAGGTCAATCCTGTTGGCTGTCGCTCAACATGTGAATCGTCTCCAAATTAAGGTTTTAATCTTGGCTCCGACGCAAATCTCGAGTAGCTTCGAGTTTTGCGGATGGACCACGTAGCCCTTTGTTTAGCCGTGTTTCTCTTCTCGATGTTAAAATAGGTTTGTGCTCCGAACTCCCCTTCTCCATGAGGCTGTTGAATCTTTTGAGGTTAAAAGAAGAACAGAATTCAAAAGTCCACAATAAATTGCATGATTTTCTAGTGCTCAAAAGAAAATCTCTGAAACTAATTCAGGGTGCATGTTAGAAATATATTCACCTACGAGTAATATAACGCATCAAAATTTGCACAGTTTATCTCATAGCGACGAGCAGCACAACCACCGTAACAAGCCATCGCTAAACAATTAAATGGTCGATCACTTGTGAGATAAAATTAAGCACGTCACTGAACAGAGAGCAACCACAACGGAGGATCACCTCTAGAACCGTCGAATATCCTTAGGGGGCCTAAAGTTGAGAGGGTGAGTTTCCGGAGTGGCATTTTCATCTTGCCTCCACATCTTGATAGTCTTATCGGCTTCACAACTGACCAGCCTCGTACCGGTGACATCGTATGAAAGGGCATATATACCAGCTTCACTATCCAGCGAGCCTGGAATAAAAGCATATCTAGGGGGTTAGCATCCCTTCTTGCTACAATCAACCGCAAAAGTGGGATAGAAGATATAAAATGATAACAGCGCATGAACAAAATAAACATACCGGGTTGTACAATTGTTTGGGATTGCTGAAAATTGTGGCCGCTCCTCCAATCCCAAAACCACATGCTCCCATTATCGCCTTCAATAAAAAACGGGGGAAAATTAGAATTACCAAGTTCTATGAGACGAAAATGGGAATAAAAGAAGTTTCTGGTCATTTATTTGACAAAAGAAAGACTATCCCAGATTGTCAAGGCCTTGTTAGGCACATAAATATATTCTCCGAACTGTGGGAAAAGAGAAAAGGAGAGCACACAAAAATCATCCCCTTAGTGTCCTTTAACATGTAAAGAATCCATACCTCCTGTGGCCAAAACCCCATCTTCGTTGACAGCCATTGCATTGATTATGGTTTTCTGCTGAGACCTGCACAAATACAACCGATAATTTTTGGAACGTTATAATTAAAAATATCACTAGATATATTCATATTGATATAGTACACATTAATAAAATAAAATAAATACTCAATTCACGATACATTCAGTGTGTCAGGAAAAGGTACCAAACTCTAAATATATGCAAGACAGATCACATCCATGCAATTTCAAAGTGCTGCACTATAAATACTTTAATGGTAGTAGCATGAGTATAAAGCTTGGCATGCATTGCTATAAGTATATGTAATTAAAGCCATGAGTTGGAATTATTTAACACAACTTCTCAACTGATGAGGAAACAAGTATACACATATCCAAGTAGTGACACAAACCACGCAGCATATGCTTTATGTGGTTCAAAATTGTGCAATTAACGAACCATGTGTAAGTTTACAGTTTCAATGGATCCATCGCAGGCAATGTAATGTTAATCCATCGCAGGCAATGTAATGTTAAACATTTCCTATTACCCTCCAGATCAGAAGTTTTGCATTGCATCTTGACTGATGTGATGGTGCCTGTGCGTTGAGCAGCCTAATTGACTTGCCACGAAGGGAACGTGTGCGCCCCACAAAAAAGAACATAAAAAGGGGAGCGCAATACCTTACGACACACAAACAGACACATTTGCCAACTAATTATCCATGACAAGTACATTACCTAACTGGCCTTGAGCAGACAAACACGCAAATCATCAATCCTAATATTGATTACTTGTCATTCTTTGAACAAAGAATACATCACAAACATACAATAGGAAAGGAGAGCAAATGGCAAATCTATCGTTCCAGGAATATATGCAGAGATTCAGTCTATTCAAACACTCACAGCATGTTGTGTAAAAATTCGCCTCTTGGGAGGTTGAACTTCTTAATGTTATCAGCTGATGCAGATGCAAAACAATGCCTGAAAAACCAAACTCAATTAGAAAGAGCAAAGCATATAATTTAAGGGCGCGTAATAACAAACACAACCGGAATAATTCACTACACATGAAATACAAAGTACATGTATTGGCACATACTCTCTAGGATGCTGGGCCATTGCACGCACAGACTTTTTATGGTGTGTCAGAGTTGACATTGTTTTTCCTGCAACAAATGCAAACTGATAATTAAAAAAGAGGGAAGTACCAAAACTGAAATGAGTTTGAGCTACTTATAGAACATAAATTACCATATCTAAGGTCCCAAAATTTGATTGTTGTGTCGTGAGATCCAGTAACAACTTGTGGATCCTGCACACAGTAGACAAGGTAACATAAGGAACATGGCCTATTTTAACAATAAAATGAGAAGTGGCTGGAAGAAAAAAAAAAAAAAAACTCAAAGTTATTGTGTTTAGCGCAAAAGTAGACATCGATAATACATAAGCTATTATGAATTGTTTGAATCTAAATTGTTGTCAGCTTGCATACTCCACAATATAGTCAGAACACCATAAAGAGAACAGAAAAGAGTTTTTCATACTGTTGGTCGAGTAAAAACAGAGCAAACTGTGTTGTCATGCCCCGACAATGCATGAACTTGCATCTTGCTTCGGATATCCCAAACCTGAAAGTTTTATTGCACCAAAACAAAGTTATTATTACCACAATACCAAAAAAAAAAAAAAAAATCCAAACATATTATTACCACAATACCACTCTGATACAAATTACAACAATCCCTTTGCCCAGTCCACAAGAGTGCTTCCTCCATTATATTATACAGGATTTGAATTTTACTAGGAAGATAATTACATACCCGGCATACAGAATCACGTCCCCCGGTAAGTAAAACATCAAGAGTCGGATGAAGAGCCAAGCAGTAAACGCCACTTAAATGACCATGATATGAACGGATAACCTATACAACAATTTATATGATGTAACAACCAGCATTAATAACAGAACAAAGTTACAATAAAGATCTGAAAATTATTAAGTAAAAGTATTAACCTTATTCTGTTCAAGATCCCAGCATTTAACTAGTTTGTCATCTCCAGCAGAGAACATATAGGTATGCCTGCTGCTAACTGCAAGGCCTGCAAAAACCCAAGCACTTGTTGTTAACAACACCATTAACCACAGCATGGTTAACCAAAATCAAACATAACGCACAGCAATAATTCAAGAGAAATCAACCTCGTATTTGCTCAATGTGTCCTGTCACTGTCAGTTGTAGAGTTCCAGTTGCAACATCCCAAATCTGATCAACCAAAATCAGAACACAATCCAAAAGAACATAAACTAAACACTCAAACAATAAGAAAAAGAGAACACTAAATAAAAATTAAAAAAAAAAACAAATCGCAAGTGATGTAACTTCTAGAGAGAAGAAAACATAGACGGAAAGTGGGGAAGGAAAACCACTCAGATAGACCAACTCAGACAAATGAAGCATAAAGTTACATACCTTGATAGTGCGGTCTGCTGAACCAGTGCAGAACCATCTATTACTTGGGTCAAAGGCAATAGATCGTACCCATCCCAAGTGGCCGCTAATAACCTGCATAATCAAATGAAACAACATGGCTTATAAGAAACATTATGCATAACCATTTCCTTTCTTCGGATAAGAGACATTATCATAACAGTAAATGTAATCAACTCAAGTTCAATCATACAAGAGGTGCAGGGCAATCTTATCCACTCATTAGCCAAGAAAGAGCTAAACAGAGGACAACAAAAATTGAAAGAAGCACCCATATAACATAAACTCCCATGTCAGTTCCCATTCATTTCCATCTAATAAGAATCTCCATGTCACCCAGACAATATAATCCCAACCACTTTCCACACTGCACCTAACTGTCTATCATAAACAACGCATTATGCTTACTCTGTAAATCTTCCAAGGGGCATGCCAATCGGGACGTGGCCATCTGCTGGAAATTCTTTCCATCATGGCCGATGTTGAAAACCTATAGAAGAGAAAAGTAACAGTTAAAGCAAAAAATGGGATAAGTTTTCCCTAGTAGAATTATCAAGATTAGAAAAAAAAATGCAACAAGATGGGATAGAGCATCATGCAGGTTGCAATTTTTATAACATTCAGTCCCCCTGTATATCCCATAAAAAGCCTAATAAAAACTTCAATCTAATAACATCATGAAAGCACAAAATATGATACATTTAACACAACTTCAACCCCACGTAATGCATGCAGATGAGGCAAAATGGTAAGGACAATCTTAAATTTCAAGAGTGGAATAAAAAAACAGCAAAGAAAGAGAATTCAACAATATCAAAAGGAATTTATGACCAATGTAATACTTTACTCTTAAAAAATATCTAACTCTTTGAATATTTTAATAGGTCCTTTATGTTTCAAAAAGCATTCCTAACAAGTTATATGTTTTCCTTACCAACCCTAAGCCAAAAATTCATAGTGCACTAATTAGATGAAATACTAAAAGCTCTCTAATATGGAATAAATTTGGAATAAAAACAAAACTGGAGCAGGCTGTACACATTGAATTTAAAGCAAATCAGAGGAGGACAAAACTCAAACCTGTGAGAAGACCCTGGAGCAGAAACAGCTACAGTGCCTCTGTCCGAATTACCAATAGTATTCCTGAAAATAAAGAAAATGATTAAAGAATTCAGTCAACAATTAAGGGCACCATGAGTACAAGAAATCAAAATAACCAATTTGCATTCCAGCAACATTAGAACAAAAACTCTGTCAATTTTGACAACTCACTCATACAATTCTGTTCAATGATCCAAATATTTAGCCCAATCACTTTGGAAAACAGAAGCTAATAATTGCAAACCATAGTCCAAGAATGAGGAAATATATATATGAAGAGGGATAAGTTGAAACATTGCAACACAGAGATATAAATATGCACGAAAACAAGCATTAATACATCTGCAAGCAAGAAACTACTCACGGTGCCCTTGGTGCAGATGGACCGACAACCAAAGCGTTTTGAGCTCCTCCAGTCTGCATTTCCTTAGAATCTTCATGACACACATGGTATTAAACCAACAAAATAGTTTAGCAGGTTACAATTGCAATATAGAATACCCAAAAGGGACTTAACTTCCCTAAAACAAGAAGCTAAATCTTCCCTACTTCTAACTGATTATTAGAAATTTCAATTAGAACAAATAATACCTGTGAGGGCAAGGGCATTGGAAGGCCCTTCAGAACCACTTCCCAGCGCACCAGACTCAGCCCGGCGAGGCGGTTTTTGGCTAGCCGTGGGCTGAATTCCTACATACTCCATGCTTATCTAATAATTCAAATCAAAATTTTCATTCAAATGCAACACTCTTCAAATCAATAACTTCACAAAGCTTAAATTCACAAAAAAATACTAACAATTTCAACTCAATAATTTCACTAACCTTGTGGCTTGTGCGAATTGTTTTACTGCCAAAAAAAAAAAAGAGTAAGCAAGAATTAACGCACAAATTTTCAAACAAAAAAACCTACATTCAGCTCAATAATTTCACAAACCCTAAAAATTAGAGAAAGTAAAGGCAACGGCGGTACCTCTCGGGGTCGGGAGAGGGGAGCTCGCCTTGGGCCGGGGAGAAGAGATCGAGAGATCGTTTGAGGGATTTGAGACTGAGCTTCTTCAGCGACTGCGGCTCCACTGGTTCCATCTCCAATGTGGGCCCCGGCATGATGTTCTTCTTCTATATACTGAGAAGGATTTGGCGCCGATGACTTCTCGTTCCCAAAAGCCCTATATAAGTTGGAGGATGAGGGAAGCGAATAGAGACGACAGAGGAGAAAAGGCTAGTTCGATATACGGTGAGGTTTTTATACTTTGTTGGCCCGCGAAAGGCAGCCAGGCTATCTCCAAGTAGGGGAGGTATTTGTACGACCGTACCAAAACCTACACCAAATTTTTGGTAGAGGTATTCACCGAATTACCCCCCTGAACTTGTAAGTGGTTGTCAATTTCCCCCCTAAACTTTAATTTTAACCAATTACCCCCCTGAACTTGTGTAATTCACCAATTTACCCCCTACCGTTATATCTTAAAATTTTCCATCCAATTTTCCATCCAATTTGGTCACATGCTTGGCACATGCTAATGGTGTGAGGGTAAAAAGGTAATCATATACCACAACAAACCTAATCGATATGGGGAAGCAGGGGAACACAAGCCGCATCTAAGGTTACAATTTGAGAAAAGAGAATCAAGAAGCAGGGGAAAGATGAGTATGGTGGTCAGAGATGGTGGACATCCTCCAAGATACGGTAAGTCTTCAATTTTTCCTTCTCAATTTCTTCCATATCCAAATCTTCCACTTTCATCCCATTAGGCAATTTCCAATCAAACCAGTAGAGAAGATTTGCAAGTCCAAACTGTAGTGTCGTTGTCGCCATGTATATCCCTGGACACATTCTTCGACCAGCTCCAAATGGCAAATATTCATAATGTTGTCCTTTAAAATCAACCGAGCTTCCATCAAACCTTTCTGGGAAAAACTCTTCTGGGTCGTTCCAAATCTTAGGGTCTCGTGCGATTGCCCCTTCATTCACAAGGATGAGTGTTTTGGGGTCCACATCATAGCCTTGGATTTTGAAGTGAGACATGGCTTCTCTCGGAAGAATCATCGGAGCTGGAGGATGCAGTCTTAGTGTTTCTTTGATTGTCATCCTTAGGTATTCAAGCTGCTCCGTATCACTTTCACTGACTAATCCTTTGTTTAATGCATTTGTTGTAGGTAATCATGACCTATTCACACTTGAAATACACCATGGTGGTCACTTTAAAGATGGGCAGTATGTGGGTGGTATTGTACAGTGGGTTGACAATTATACTAAAGATTATATGTCCATGCTTGATCTGTATGAGGTTGCTATAGTGCTTGGGTATAATAAAGAGACTGTGGGTTTTTACTATTGGCACCAAATAAAGGGTTTTTTGCAAATTGAATGCGATGCAGATGTGTTTCAGTGGGTTTCACTCATATCTCCTCAACATGTGTTGCATTTGTTATACTTGGTTGACTTAAGGAAAATCACAAACAATCTTGCGAGTGATCCGTGTGCGGCTACATTTGTTGATATGGATGTTCAGTTTGAGGGGTTTAATGCGGATGATGAATATGAAGAAAATAAGAGTGTGGAGGTTGTTGGAGACACTGTAGAAGGAATAGATGAAGAGGTTACAGATTCAGAAAAAGAGGAAGATGACGATGAGGTTACTCTTAAGTTCAAGGATTCTGACTATGAACAATCCGAGGAAGATGCTGATAAAGGTGCAAAAAATGTACAAGCAAATGACATCTTGTTTGATCAGATTGTAGCGAGTGATTCTATTGAAGAAACACACAGAGAACTTGGTGAGATCTCCACTGAAGAATACAATTCAGAAGATTTAGATAGTGTTAGGTCTGAGTCTGAAGAGCATGAAGCCAATATGAGGGTTAGAAGAAGACTCAAAACACCTAAGCTACCTCAATATAGGAGAGAGTCAGATAAAATCAATCCCACTCTTCATCTAGGGTTGGAATTTCCAAACATGAAACAATGCAGGGAGGCAGTAAGGGCATATGGCGTGTCTGTTTGTCGACCGCTAGATTGGGCAGTGAATGATTCCAACAGATTACGGATCAAGTGTCTAGGAAAAGCTGCAGTACCTTGTCAATGGAAATTGTATGCCTCTTTTGTGGGGAAGGGACCAACAGTTAGAATTAAAACCTATAATCCTGAACACATTTGTGTAAGAGAGGAGCATTCTAAATTTGCCACCTCCTCTTGGTTAGCTGATCGGTTCGATGAGGAGCTTAGATCGAAACCCGATATGAGTGTGACTGGTTTCATGGAACTTGTGAGAAAGCATTATGGTATTGACATAACAAAAAACCAATTTTACAAAGCAAAGAGAATTGCCAAAAAAGTGACAGAAGGTAGTATAGATGAGCAATATGCCAAGCTTTGGGATTACTTGGAAGAGTTGAAAGTGAGAAATCCTGGGAGTACTATCAAAGTAAAAACAGATTTCCAAGGTGAAAACCCTATTTTTAAAAGGTTGTACATATGCTTTGCTGCATTGAAGAAAGGCTTTCAACAAGGGTGTAGGTCTATAGTGGGTTTTGATGGGTGTCATATTAAGGGACCCCATCCTGGTCAAATCTTAAGTGCTGTTGGTGTTGATGCCAATAACGGCATGTTTCCAATAGCATTTGCTGTTGTGGAGGTGGAAAATAGGGAGACTTGGACTTGGTTTTTGGAGATCTTTTTCGAAGATGTGGGAATTGAGAATGGAAATGCTTGGACATTCATCACTGACAAACAAAAAGGACTAGGCGATGCTATTCGGAGTCTGATGCCAACTGCAGAACACAGACATTGTGTTAGACATTTGCATAATAATTTTAGAAGTGCAGGTCACACTGGACTTGCCTTAAAACAGAGATTGTGGGCAGCAGCAAGAGCAACTACTGCACCTGCTTTTGAAGCTGAAATTGAGGTGATGAATAATCAATCTGATAAGGCAGTGGAATGGCTAGCTGATAAGCCACCTTGCCATTGGAGCAGATCTTATTTCAGAACATCGGTAAAGTGTGATTTGTTATTGAATAACATGTGTGAGTCATTTAATTCTGCAATTTTAGATGCAAGAGATAAACCGATTATTACGATGTTACAAAGGATTCAAAAATATTTGATGTTGAGAATGGCTAGGCTAAGAGAGGCTAAGTGGACGCAACAAGTTGGACCTAGAATTTTAAAGATTGTTGAAAAAAATCAAATGGATAGTTTCAGTTGTTTTGCCAATTATTCAGGGAATGGTCAATATCAAGTGCATACTTTGGTTGGTAGTATGTTTGCAGTAGATTTGGAAAGGCACACTTGCTCTTGTAAGAAGTGGCAGCTATGTGGCATTCCTTGTCCTCATGCTATATCCGCAATTGCTAGGAAGGAGGCTAGTCCACAATTGTTTGTTCACTCACTTTACAAAAGGCCAGCTTATGATAGGTGTTATGAAGGGTATATTGCTCCTATGCCTGAAAAAGAACAGTGGAAGAAAACCTACCTTAGGCCTATTAAACCTCCTTTTTACCACAAACAACCTGGAAGACCTAAAGGCAAAAGAACAAAAGCACCAGATGAGATAAAGAAGGGGGCAACAAAGCTAAGGAAGTATGATGTTGTAATGCATTGCCAAACCTGTGGAGAGGAAGGACACAACAAAACAAGTTGTCCACAAGGGCTACTACAATCACAACAAGGTTTTGGACTCACAAAAGAGGTAATTTGATCAACAATGATTGTTTTTATTTTGAGTCTTGTTATATCACTTATCTAGTCGCTAAGTGAACATAAATAATGTAGAGTCATGGGCGAACAGTCGGTACAAGCATATCTAAAGGGTCTAGCTCAAATGCAAAAGGACCTAAAACGCCAAAAGGAAATAACACAATAAGTGGTCTTAACTCAAAAGCAAAAGGATTGGCCACAGTTGCAAAGGTAATTGTAAATTGGACTTGTATCAAATACTTATATTGTGTTTGACTCTACTATATATGCAATTGTATGAAATTACTAATTGGGTATAAATGGTTTTGAAGTAGGAAATTGGTGCACATCACCACTCATGGGCTGCTCCATCTCAAACTAGGCCACAAGGAACTTCTAAACTACATGTAATAACAAGAATCTGTCTTTTTTAATTTAAAAAAAAATTGTTATAGATTAATTTTTGTTGTTTTGGGTTTGCTAACATTTTTGTTGCTTCCGTGTTGAATTGAAATAGGTGAACCGAGGGGGTCGTGTGAATCAAGTCGCAAGGAAGGCTAATGAAATGGCATCACAACCCCAACATGTTGCCAAAAAAGCAAGACCATGGAGAGTGTAACTATGATGTGTTGGAGGGCCTTTCGTACTGTTAATGAAAATCTTTGGTGTTGAGGTTAAGTTGTTCTTTTAAAGGGATTATGCTGCAGAACTATAAAATTGATAGGTTTTATTGGTTTTGGCACTAGGTGCAAGTCTGTTGCATATTTTTTGTGGATGTTGTTAACTTTATTGTAGTAAGAATCGTTAATTTCATTTTGGTAAACTGGGCGCTGAGCCAATATTTTGCAGTTGCTAATTAGACTTTTATGGTTAATTTAGATAAAATTGTTCGAAGTGAACTAGCGGAAGAGAAGAAGAAAAATATAATGTCCACATTATGAATAAAATTACTTTTTTACCCTAAAAAAATTGGCACGTGCTGTGCATGTGACTGAGTTGGATGGAAAATTGGATGGAAAATTCTCAAATCTAACATCAGGGGGTAAATTGGCCAATTTTACAAGTTCAGGGGGGTAATTGGCTAAAATTAAAGTACAGGGGGAAATTGGCAGTTCCTTACAAGTTCAGGGGGGAAAACGACAAATACCCCTTTTTGGTATGACAAAATTTATTATCATTATCATGCTAAATTTTTGATATATTGAATTTCGACATGCCAAATTGTTCGGTTGGCATAGTATGATAATGGTAATTATCACTTTATTTTAAGCCATTCTTTTTGGCCAATTTTTTTTTGATAGAAAATCAAGAAGGAGAGAAAGAGAGATTGTGGGAAGAAATTCATTTTGATAGAAAATCAAAATTAATTTTGATAATAAATTACATACTGTTTTCTTTATCGTACTTTTTAATCCACTGCACCAAACGTTTAATTAAACTAATGTAGTTTAAATTAGTCTAATTTAGAGCTTGTTTGGATGTGCATTTAAAATGATTGAAAACACTTTAGGTGGAAATATTTTTAAAACTAATATTTAGTAAAAATTTAAAGTGTTTCATGAAAAAACATTTTTTGTAAAAACGTTTTCA